CCTATTATTAAAAAAAAAAAGTGCATTCTCTTTTCATGTAACAGCACAGAAAATACACAAAAAGCAAGGACAATGGTGTTGTGATTATTGAACAAAAATTCATTTTTCTAAAGAATTTCAATTTTTTTTKTATTTAATCCTAAATAARCATGAGACATCCATCCATCCGACCATCCGGCCAACATCCGACCATCACATGCTAAGAATATCAGGATATTTAAAATACAGATAACAGGGTCTGTCATGTTTGAATCTAACAGTGAAAATATACTAATGTTGTATGAGACACAAAATGGGAAAATACATAAAAGGCTACCTTCTAACTAACATCATGCTTTGGTACAACTTGATATGCTTATGCAAATAGTTTTATCTAAGTGATACAGATTAGTGCATTTAAGATTAGGGTTTTCTTGTCCTCGAGTTAGTCAGAGGCAATAAATTTTGATAATGGATATCAAAATTATTTGTTATGTTGATAGAAGATTATAGTATTGACTCTGAACAAGTGTTGAATTATCTGTGTAAGATATAATCACCTTTGCTATTTGATTTTAAGAGCTTACCATTAGCTTTACCTTGCCAAAAAGATAGTGACTTGCTGCCCACTCCCCTAGAACAGGGAAACTGCTGCCCACTCCCTAAGGAACAGGGWAATGGGAAGACACAGCCAAAGTAAGGCTGCATCTGTAAGGCAGGACAGATGGCGATCATCACAGTCCCTGTTGAGACTGTTGTTGAGACTAGTTTGTTGAGAGCTATTAGTAGATCCCCTTTCTGAATGTTGTGTCACTTTGTATGGAAATGAGAGCACAGCAAGATGAGGCAAGAAGAGCGAGATGATGACACCCATGTAGATCTCCATCCAGCTTTCTTCCAGGTAGGTCATAGCARGGCCTCAGTCTGACACATTCAGACTGAGCAGCTGGGAAAGGTTTGTTGGTCCCAAAACAACCGTATTCCAAGCACCTGACAAAGCCCTTCCTCCAGTTTGGGGATTAAGAGCAAGGAGGATCAGTCAAGAGTCTCCTGTGCTCTTCAGCATAACTCCTTYTATTACATTAAAGGTTAAGCCACAGTCTGAATACAAATGAGCAAAGAGGAAAGACCTGAGCCATGCAGTCAGGGTAAATTACATTTCAGCATCTAGGCATAAACCAGAAAGATTTTCTTTGCAAACAACAGAAAACAAAGAGAAATTGCAYTGAAATATTTGAAAACATGACCGGGATTTAGTTAGGGAAAAAATATCACTCTTGGGACGGAAAGGGGAAAGGTAGTTTTACAGATTACAACAAAAAAAAATTGCTTTTTGGGGTCTTGCCTTGACCAAAAAAAAAAAACCCCAAAACATAAAAAACATAAAAATGAAGGTTCTAATTCTTCTGGGTGGACAAATTATTTCAGAAACATGAGCTTATTAGTAAAGACATGTATGCTGCTTATATGTTCATACATGCCTGTATAGATAAGAGAGCATGCACTTAGGGCCTATCTTGCAAATGGTAAGAAGTACCTCCACAGCTGCACACTCCTCAAAAAAAAAAAAAAAAAAAAAGTTCTGTATTTTGGACCCTCTTCTCAACATCTGTGTGAATACATTTACAACAGAAATGTAACAGAGTCTTTCCAGCTTACACTATCCATAGAGAAGAAAGTACGGAAAGAGATTTCACCTCAGTCTGGAAAACATAATGAATTTTAATGATAATTTTTGTTCATCTTTTATGAAGAGACAAAAGATGTGAAAATCATTTTACATGTCCACATGTACTGAAAACACAGTACCTGCTGAATTTCGCAATCTATAAACTGAGCTCATCAACATAACTGTTATCCTTTTAAAGTCAGTTTTACAAATTCTTAAATTCAAGAAAGGTTTTTTTAGAATTTTTTTTGCATTCATTATACTAACAATCAAGGCATRTGGAACATCACAAAACATGTGCCCTTGCTCATTCCCTTCAAATCTTCAGAAAGTCCCATGTGAAGGAGGAAATCAGAGTGGAGACTGCTCAACGACAATTAAATGTCAATGACAGAATCCACAAAGGATATAAGCAAGTGAAAATTTGAAAGCAGAAACAAAAAGGCAGCTGTTTAACTGTTACCTAACCCAAACACGACTTGGAAACAGTATTTAGGAAAAGCTTTAGTTTTATCAGAATCCTGACTTACCTTGAGGATGCCCAAATGAGTAGGGACCCTGTCTATGTATGAAGAACTTTGAACCTTCTCCTTTAGTACAAAGGAGCACTTTTTTATTATTATGTCYGTTAGAAAGCAAGCAGTGTGAAAGATACCGCATGTTGCACCCGGTCATTTATCACTTGGCACCATCCGACAGATGGTGAATTACAGATTACATCACCTGTTAGTTCAAATGTGACCGCTGCAGTGTCAGAAACAGTGCAGACTTAATTAGGCAAAAAGGTAGCATTGCACAAATAACATTAAAATGTGATTATCAGATTAGCAGTTGTTTTTATTAGTATTCTATTCTTCTCCATTGCCACCTGCACACATTCAAATCACATTTTAATATGTTTTGCTAAAGGCCTTTGCAACAACAAGCAAAGCTCTTCTGATGTGGTCTGACTTAGGCAACTCCAGAACAGCAAGAAAAATAAATCTGCTTKTCACCCCACTCCATGTGCTCAGGCCCGGGGATCTAGATTCCCACTTTCTGATTTGCATCCTTCTCTTATGTCAAGATTACTCCAGTACAAATAATCTAGTGAATTTGTTTAGCAATTCTGCTTGTTCACAGGCTCTTCACTCGGAGAGTTATTTGAGAGGGAATGAAGTCTGAGCTAGCACTGCTGTTGCATAAACAGGAGTTTAACATGCGAGTGCTTCTCTACTTCTTCATTAAACTGAAGAAGTAAAAACTAATCAGAGTTGGCCGTTTAGTTACAGACTATCCTTAAACCAACTATTGATTTTCCTAGCAGCTCATTTTGCACATGTTGCACAAAGGGATCCTGCTTGTTTTTAAGGACACCAAAGAGATTTAAATAAAATAATATGGTGTGAGAATGTTAAAGTTTAGATTTTTTTTATATGTGATAAATAGCTGAAACAAGGCAGATGGTTGTCAATTACTATAAGATAAATCATAGTAATTAAAAAAAAAGCAGTTCTGAAGGATTTTTCTCAAAAAAAAGTCATTCTGAATGATTAAAAAGAAAAGCAACTGCATGTATTACAAGTGTAATCCCAGCCTTTCAGCTATGTGGCTAGGAACCAATTTACAGCTGGAAACACCGTCACAAGGTGTTGCTACATGGCTTTCCCGTACACCCTCAGTGTGTACACAGACCTGACCTAGCCTTAATTACACAGTCATTCTAGAAATCAGAATACCAGCTATAAACCTCCGTTGACATTAGGCCACCTTTGAATTTTACAATCTTAGCAGTTTCAGCAGAAGCTCAAATTAGTAGTTTAAAGCTTTAATCTGCACTGARAATATTTTGTATTTTATCAGCAATTTATGGCACATAGTTATGAAATCCTGACCTAGCTACCAAGCCATTTAACTTATCTGGCACAATACTTTTAAAAATACTAAAGAAAAATAAGGGAGTTTCCCCATGCTGTAATGTTTGGCTCTAATTTTCCCTTTCTAGCCCCTCTTTGTCTTGGGAATCCCAAGCCACCATTTTATCTTTTTCTGGAACTTCTGATTCAGTGTGTCAGCTCAGCACAGYGCTCCGGTGACGGAGCTGCGATCCCGCGTGGAGTTCCTCTTCCCTTTCCAACCCTCCTGGCAAGCCCAGGTCTTCAAGCTCTGGCTTAACTCCCAAGGACCCAAAGCAGCCTTGTCCTGTTCTCCTTTGCTGTGATGAAAATGAAGTCAGTTCTGCTCTCACTCAGGAATTGATCCACTCTTCTGTGAATCCCATGTCACAGAACCTGCCTGGCTGCCAGAGCTGCTGCTGCCTCTGGAAAGGGATGGGCTCTTTAGAAACAGAAGACATATAAAACTGTTAAGTTGCAAAAAGCAATCTACATTTTACAAGTTAAATAGAAGACTACAGTAATATTTTGGCACTATTACTTCTCTGCCACCTTTTAAAATCACAAATATTTTGGTTTTTTTTTTTTTTCGGTTGGCATATCTAAAATCATAAATAAATATGAACTTAGCAAAAACACATGGCAGCAAAGTGTGCAATTAACTTTCTGTGAACAGTCTTACAGCTCCCAGTACGGTGACACTCATGGGAGATACTGTGTGCGCAGTGTCTTTGCACAGTGTTTTTATAATATATGTCCGCTGGTGGTGTGCGCTGAACACCATTTTCTTTAAGGAAGAAAATCTTCCTTATACATTAAAGCAATGTGGTGAGTAATAGTGCTTGTGTGGTCAGTATAGAGAGGGGCATGTACATCAGCTGGACATATCTGTAAAACTTGTGCACCGTAATGCATAAAGATGGCTCTCATAGGCAACAAACTGGCATGTTTGAAGGATACAGAATAAAATGATGGCTGAACGTAGGAAAAGCGGAGACTTTTCTATAGCAGTGACCAGTATAAAGTTACTACTACTGGATATTTAAGGAAAAAAAATAGGAAGGAGAAAGGGAGGAGGAGACAGCACAGATTTACAAGTACACAAAGCAGGCAGGCTGGGAAGCGGATAAATAACGCGGAGCGGTGAAGCGGGCGCCGCGTTGGCTGCGCAGCGCCGTGTCCCGCAGCGGAGCCGCCCGCGTCCCGGGGCTGCGGGAAAATCCCTCTCTCCCGGGCAGGCGCCGGGCTTGGCCGGGCCCCCAACCCTGGAAAGGGGAAGAGCCGCCCGGCGGCTTCGCCTGGCAGGACGGGCAATAATAAAGCGCCGAACAGATCCTGGCGGTACCGGGAAGTGAGTCAGCGGGCAGGCGGGAGGCGCCGGGGCCGGGGCGGGGAGAGGCGGCGCCGCGCCGCGCCCCGCTGCGGGGCCGGGCCGGGGCGCTCGGGCCGCGCCGCGCAGCGAGGCCCCGGCCGCGACCATGAGCGGCGGGCGGGAGGGCGCGCTCAGCAGCGCCCTGGCCGCCATCCCCTCCAACAAGCTGCCCGACCTGCGCTTCCTGAGCCGCGGCGCCTACGGCACCGTGTCGGCCGCGCGCCACGCCGACTGGCGCGTCCCCGTGGCCCTCAAGTGCCTCCAGGGGCCGCTGCTGGAGAGGTAACGGCCGGGCCGGGCCGGGGCCGCGGAGCCCCGAGGCGCCGCGAGGGTGACCCGGAGCTGTAGGAAAGGCAGAGCCCGAGGCGGCGCCGCCGGGAGGCCGCTCCGCGCTGCGGCCGCCCGCGCGCACAGGGGAAGCGGGCGCGGGCGGCAGCTCCGGCCCGCGGGGCTGCGCGGGGCCTGCGCGGGGCCGGGAAAGGGGCGCCCGGCGCCCTGCAAAGCTCGGGTGTCGCAACGCGCCTGCCCTGACGGCAGCGAGCAGCGCGGAGCTGCCGCGGAGCCCGGGAAAAGCCCTGCTTTCCCTGGCCGCGGCGTTCGTGGAAGTAGCGAGTCGCGCCCTGGGCTCTTCTTGAGGCCTGCCGCTCGGCTCTGAGCGTTTTCTAGAGTTTTGTGTAACAGGAGCCTAGTCTTTTTTCCTATGATGAAGATACGTTGCTTTCCACTTCCCACCTGCTCAAGGAGCAACAATTTKGCTTACCTGTAATATTTTTTTCCATCAAAAAAGCAGTAAGATTTAGTTCCCTAGGTTTAGTTCTTTTGTTTGGATGGCGAGGGCTGGCTCTGCAGTGGCAGCTCCAGGCGCACTGGGACTCCTGAGGATGCAGCCATCCTCACAGCCCAGCCCTCGCCTCGGAGCCATAGGGCCGTGACAGTACGGGACTGTGCTGAGCAAATACACGTGCACGGATAGCCCATGTGCATCCAAACGGCTCGTCCTGGATGTGCTCTAATGCTCCAGTAGTTGGGCATCCCCATTCCAGTCTCCAGTGATGTAAAATCCAAGTCCTTTTCGCAGAATTATCTTTCTTACTTCAAGTATCCTCACTATTAATAACCAGTATGTTCAAGAACTTTTGAGATACAAAACATGCCAAAAAATGGCTTCATTATTCTTAGAAATACAGTTTTGCTATTACTCAATCTTAAATAACATTTCAGCTGCTTATGTGCTGCTAGGTTTATTTACACCTGTGAAAGGTGGCATCAGGCTCACATTTATGAGGAGGCTTGGCCTTAGCAAAGAACATGTACACCGCCAAACTCGGGTGTCRGGACAGCTTCTGTAGGCTCTCTGTGTAATCAGGTGAGGCCCAGTCTGAGAGGGTTATTTACGTGATAAGAAAGCATGCTTCATCATTCCTTTTCCCTCAGAAACTGAAATTGTATTCCTATAACTTATTTTAGTATATTGTTTAGCTCAGTGTCTACTGAGCTAAAATGACTGGAGAACATAAGTATTAAAATCTCCCTTTTGTAGTAGACAAACAGTCCATGAAAACTCAATGTTTGAAGATGGGCAGTAAAAGGGATAAATATAGTTAGATATTGCTGTCATTATGGTTACACAGGATGGTGAAAGTTGGGAGTTCTGGTTGTGTCCTTTTTCGCTTGAAACGTGGGTGAAATGCAGTGCGGGGATGAGGCAGTTGTGCAGTACAACGAAACTGAAGACGCTGGCGCGTGCCTGCTTGTGCAGATCCCAATTTGTGTTCAAGTATCGTGCTATAGAACTAGTGTAGTAGGAGATAAAYTGTGAAGGACCGTCATACTGCATGCACCAATATTATTAGAGAAAGCAAATTTGATGAAACTTGCATTTGCTTTGAATTTTCTAGTGTTAGTTCAGTAATCCCTCCTTTTCTTTTTCTTTAAGTGATAGAAAGCACCTTCTGAAAGAAGCAGAGATTCTGCACAAAGCCAGGTTTAGATACATCCTGCCCATTCTAGGAATTTGCAATGAGCCTGAATTTCTGGGCATAGTAACAGAGTATATGACAAATGGATCATTAAACCAGCTTTTACATGGGGTAAGTTTACTTAAAGCTCTTAAATACMGTCCCTGGTTGGCTCAAATAGACTGATTTCCATCCTTAAAGGAATAGAGTAAAACTTAGCAATTCTTCAAATTAAAGGACAGTAACCCTGGGTTTTCATTGCTTAGAATTTCTGTTCTCCAAAGAGGCAATTGAAGTCAGCAGACTTTAGTTTTATTATACACTTTTGTATAACTTTCTGCTCCAAACTGGCTTAAAGATTATTGTATTAATGAATTATTGTATAAATAATCACTTTAAAAATATGTTTTTCTCCAGTTCAAAACTGAAATACTKATACTCACTTCAGTCTGTGTTTCAGAAATATCAGCCATATAAACATCACAAAAAGATGTATTTGTTTCCACTTGTTTGTTGACTTTTTTTAAAAAAAAATAGACTATTTGGCTCTATATTTGCAAATCTAGGCAGATATGGGCATTTCTGTTGGGTCTTCAGGAGGGTGTCAGCTTGTGCTGAGTTCTCAGTTACTTCTCGTGGTTTGATCGGAGCATCCCGTGTTCTAGGTTAAAGCTAGATGCAGTTGTCTCCATGGCTCTGCACCTCTTCTCTACCTTTAATCAGTGCCTCATGCCTTAGAGAACTCAGCTGTATAGCTTTCAATGTCATTACTGTCAACTTCAATATTTAATATATAAAATTCCTGCATTTTATTGGTGTTCTTATGTTTTCAAAGGTATTTTTTTTTTTTTTTTTTTTTTTTTTTGTTAGTTTTGCAATAGCTAGAAAAGACATGGAAATAAACTCAATAATTAGAGTTGAGTTCTGCCTGTACAGTCACATATAGCAGGATTTTGGCGTAGCATGTGTGTAACAGCGTCCTGTTCCCCTCCTCCCTCTTCCTCCCAGTGTCAACTGATTATATGATTTTTGCTTTCCTTTGAATAGTACCTATAATATGGCTCACAAACTTTCTGTGGGAGTTATATGTCCCAATTCTCAGTTATGCTTTTTAAGGAGCTGACAGGTGTACTTTAATAGATAACTGGTTGTGCAACTCCTTTTCTTCTTATTTTAACAGTTTATATTAAGTTGATAGGTGAAAACAGAAAATAATGTCTTGGTTCTGTGATTTAATTTTGCTAGAAGGATGTATATCCCGACATTCTCTGGTGCCTGAGATTCCGATTCCTGTATGAAATTGCTTTGGGAGTAAACTATTTGCACAACATGAATCCTCCGTTGCTGCACCACGACTTGAAGACCCAGAATATTTTACTGGATGACGAGTTTCATGTTAAGGTAGAGCTATTTAATTATTCTGTTCTTCAGCGTCCGAAGTGAGCCAAAAGTGCTTAACTATTGCAGAGGAGGAGCAGGAAGGACATGTGGAGGGGACTTAATTATATGCCAGGCTTTTTGGTTTATCCTTGCAGACAGAACTTTCCAGTTTCTTTAAAAATGTCTGTCCTGCTCAAGTGTGGATTCAATCTATCTAAAAGGACCAAGTATCCAGAATTTGGGGTTTTGTGCTGTCTGATCCTCACTAGTAGTGACACTTCCCTACTCACCCCTCCCAGGAATCCCTTCCTGAGTAGAAAMGAGACAGTGTTTCTGCCTGTCAAATTTGACATGGAGGACAGTGGTACCAAGTTCTAAAGTGAAGGCCATTTGATACTTACCAAGCCATATGTGCATATGCTGTTAGTGTGTGTGGTATAGGAATATGTAAAACCCAACTGAAATTTGAACATCCAGTGTAAATTCTCTTAGAGCAAGCAAATATGCATGGAGAAACAATGTTATTTTAAAAGCTTAAATTTGCCTTTTATGCTCTCACTGCCCTAATATGAACAAGAGATTAAAAGTAACAGAGATAAAATTCCGTAATTTCAGTTTGAAGCTTCTGTTGCTTTTACATCTGTGACATGAGGGACATTTGGCTTGTGCTTCAGTGGGTGACATTTCAGCTGACACCGTGTGGGCTGGTCTGCAAGTCCTCAGAGCACRTGTCCTATACTGCTTTCCTGGTAACAGCTACTCGGAGGCCTCAGCTCCAGAGAGGTTTTTCTTGTCAGCAGAGCAGCTTACGCAGCTTCCTCTGCACTCACACCCTCAGCAGGTCCCTCCTCCCTCTGCTGGTATCGCCATCTCTGGAGCTTCCTGATAAACCTGATGGGGCAACTGCTCCAGGTCCTTATTTTCTTAATGCATGTTTTTTTTCCAATCCCTGTTAGCACAGGTGCTATCCAGTACCTGCCTGATCGTGCATGAACAGCAGCTCTGCCAGAACAAAGAAGGGAATTATCTAACTCTGTTTAATGGAATTTCCTAATGAAAAGGAAATTCCAATTTCCTATCCTAATGAATTCTGCACATGAATCACAGAATCATAGAATGCTTAAGGTTGGAAGGGACCTCAGAGGTCATCTAGTCCAACCCCCCTGCTCACGCAGGGTCACTTAGAGCACATGGCCAGGGCTGCATCCAAGCAAGTTTTAATGATATCCAGAGAAGGAGACTCCACAACCTCCCTGGGCAGCCTGTTCCAGGGCTCTGTCRCCCTCACTGTTAGAAAATATTTTCTTAGTTCCTGAAAGTCTCTGGAAGCCAGTTTTTAAGTTTTTCTGTGGGAGTGAAGCAAGGTTCTCTAAATTAGTACAGCTGACAGAACATATAAAGAAGGTTATCATATGTGCATATTAATAACATTTTAGAGCGATCCTGAGTGTACCAGATCTGCTGAGGATACCTGAACAGCYGCAGGGAGGAAGTTACCCTGATGAAGCTGAGTTATAAAGATTAAAGTTTGTTTGTTACTATAGATTTTGTTGCACGCTCTTCAGGTTTATATCTATCATCCTAAATGTGGCAGCGCTCCGACAGGCAGCTTTGATCAAAATCATTTTGTTCAGATAAATCTTTTTTTTCCCTGAGATGCTGAACTCCTCACAGCTCAGAGCGCTGGTTTATTCTTCCAGCTCCTTTTCCCTGCCTTCAGCCTAGTGTGTCGCTCTGCTCCCTGGCTTCTTGATGTCTGGGAATGGAGAGCAAGGTTAATTCTTTATGGGATGTGCAGTAGGTCATGTAGGAAATGACAAAGAGAGAGCTTTGGGAAGGCTGCAGAGCTCATGGTGAGCAAAATGCTTGGTGWCTTCTAACAGGCCAGAGTTCCAGAATAACAACTCAACTAATTCTGGATAAATATTCAATAGGTTTGGGGGATAARATGGACTGCCCTACCCTGAATCTGTAAGAGCAGCTGTCTCAGGACATCTGCAAGCTCAGATATGTAGGGCTGTTTTGATTTATATTAAATTTGTGTTTTCCTCATAAACAGGAGCACTGGAGATGCACAGTAGCTTTCTGTTTACTTGTTTTTAGTGAAWTAAAGTGATTTTTTTAGAACAGTTCTTCGGACAGGGTGGAAACTCRCAGTAAATTCTCCAGTGAAATCTTTCCGTAAAAGATCAAGAAGCTAGGGCACGGTAGCAATAAATAAAGAATGAATTGAGAATATTTTCTGAATTTTAGATACTGTTTCTGTTGCTAAGACAGTGGCATACTTACACATGTCAGGCTAAGGTCCTTAAGCTAGTAGTTATTTCAGTTGTTTTTTTTCCAGAATTAAAAAACAGACAAAACAAACAGCAACAAAAAATGGATAAGCCCAGTTCTTCTTCTTGAATAACAGTTTTCTCTTTTGCAGATTGCAGATTTTGGCCTGTCAAAGTGGCGTGTGGTGTCTATGTCACAGTCCCGGAGTGAAACATCCCTGCCCGAAGGAGGGACAATTATCTACATGCCGCCCGAGGATTACACCCCCAGCCAGAAAACGCGGGCCAGTGTGAAACATGACATCTACAGGTACCTTCTGTTCCTCTCCAGTGACAATGTAGGGAGGGAAAACTTTATTTCTATTTACATACCCTTCTAATTAATGTACATCAACAACATAATTTGCAACATACAGTTGTGGGAAAGAAGAAAAATATTTTTGGAAGGAAGAGGAAAAAAAAGCAGGTAATGGTGGTGGGGGAAGTATAGAGAGATACCTACTAAAGGAATAACTTTACAAAAGTTTGGATAGATCTGCTTCCTTCAGCTCTGCTGAGCAGTATCTGGAAGTAGTGGAATAGTGGCCACCTCTATTAAATCGGTGATGTTACAGGAATGATCAGCTCATTTGAAGAGATTCTGAGAGCCCAGATGATCTGAAAAATCCTGGAGGGAGCTGTTGTGGGGAATTGGGGAATTAGCAGCCTAGAAGAGGAATATCACTGTGATGAAGCCTCTCTCTGTTGCGCTCCACCACCTTTAGATCCAGCCAAGTTTGACAGGATTGTATTTTAGGGAGGTATGAGCCAGTCTCCAAGGAACTTAGTGACTGATGCATTAAGTCTTTTAATTATCTCTTAAGGAGCACACAAAGCTCTTTGACATTCCTTTCTGAAGAATAAGGAGGTGAATATATCTGCTCTCCTCACATTTTAAGGAGAAATGTGGTCTGTGATAGCATTGAAAAGGGCTGATGGTAAGTCCATAAAGTGTGATGTCTTAGAAATCATCTCTTCTGGCTCTTGATTTTAGAGGATTTGAAGTATGGCTGGTGTGTTAATGAATACTCCATGCAGAGATGGGAAAGAGAAAAGGTTGGTTAGAAAAAAGTTGTGGGCAGAGGAATAAGAACTGAATGGAAAGGAGTGAACAAAGATGAATAGAAGGAATGTAATAAATGGTTGAATCAGGAAGGAAAGAGATTATTTGAAAAGAGAGAAAAGGAATTAAGAAAACGGTGTAAGGAGATAATGCCTGCTCAGAAAGGCAAGGGAATGTAGAGAGACAGTGAAGGAAAAGATCACCAGGAAAGTCGTGTAGAAAAATTAGTGCTTAAAGCAGAGAGCTGTTAATGAGGAAGAAATAATAAAAGGAGAAYGTGAATAAGGTAAAGGGAGGTGATTTGCAGCTGTGTTGTAGGATCGAGAGAGTCGTGTTTAAGTATAGGGAGATTTCAAACTGAATGAAAGGCTGGATGGCCAATTAACTGTTTGCAGCAAGTAAAAAATAAATATTGTTGAACTATTATAACTACTTTGTGGGTTAGGATATTTCTTAAGGAAAAAATTTTTTTTTTAAAAAAGCACAATATTAGCACTTGTAAAAATAACAATTTGCCCTGACAAATCTTTCTTCTTGAACTTGTCAGGACTACAYGAAAAACAGTCTTTCTAACAAGGATTAATTTTATAACACAAATCACTGAGAACTGAATAAGTGGTTAGGAAGGCGTAATTAAATGATTGATTTTAAGTGTGAGTTAATTTTTTTTTTTTCCCTCACTAGCTGGTACTTGTTAAATTATACAAAGCTTTGAGACAATTAAATATAACCTCTATACAAAATTGGCATATAAAACCCTTCTAAAGATACCTTTTGATTAATATATCATGATAACTGAAGAGTGCAATTGGTCTCCTGGAGGTGGAAGAGAGGGATCCACTGAGCGGCTTCCTATTGCAGCTGACAGGAAAGGAAAATTTGTCTCTATTTTGGGTATGAGCAGAGGTGCCTTCAGTCAGCTCTAGGTCTGGGTGCTCCTTCCAAGAGTTTCTTTCCTAAAGTGAATGCTTCACGTGAAGTGACATCTACTTTATCTACTGATAAAACTACATTTTTTTTATTCCACTCTATATGTAATTCACCGCATGCAGTAGAGCAGAGYGGGAGCAGTACTGGAAGGTGCACTTTGCTCCATGTAAGTTTTCTGTGCTTAAAATCCTGACCAGGTCCCTAGGAATGCTCTGCTGGCTCTCGTACCTTTGGGCCATCATTGTGGCCAGCTGTAGGCAGTGCAGTGTGTAACTTGCAGGATCCTTTYAGTGGATTGTTTTAGTACAGTGTAAAGTTGAGCACATTGCTTTATCATGTTGCAATTTAAAATAATATATTTTGCACTTTTTGTGCTTTAAACAGCTATGCAATTATTATGTGGGAAGTGATGTCAAGGAAACAGCCTTTTGAAGGTAAGAACATGTCTTTTAATTTATTTTTTTTAGCCATACATAAAACCAATACTGACACTTTGGCACCTAAGAACTWCATTGCAGGAATTGCTTTGCAATCATGCACCTTCTAAGTCTATTGAACAAAAGTGGAGTTATTTCTCAAATTCTCYAATTTTGAAGTGCCATATTGTTTGATAAATTCAAAATACATTTTTTTGTAAAGAGAAACACTGCTTTCTTTTGGTGAACTATAAATACTGTGCTTGCAATCTAAATTATTACTCCTGTAGTAAATGATTTTTATTGCATATATTTCTAATGAACGCACTATATCTATTTTGACAGAAGTTATAAACCCCTTGCAGATAATGTATAGTGTGTCACAAGGACAGCGGCTAGATTTAAGTGAAGAAAGTTTATCGATGGACATTCCTCACCGAGCCCTCGTCACAAGGTTGATAGCAAGTGGATGGGCTCACAACCCAGATGAGAGACCATCATTCTTAAGTGAGTGTACTTTGTGTAATAAAAAAAATATATTTTTAAGTTGCCAGATTTCTGGCTAATGCAGTGTTTAGAGAGCACTGTGACAGTTGCAAAAGGGAAATGGTAAAGACATCAGAAGTTACATCAGGACGCTCGTGAGTAAACATGATGTGTTAAGTTGTTTGTCTCCTTCCATCATGTCTATAAACAGACATTTATGAATGGAACTACATGCATGCAATAAAACTAACTTGTTAGCCGGAGCCTTTTGCGTTTGCCATCTCTGTAATTTCCTGTGGAAAAGTAGCATGGTTTATTTAACTACTTGGACTGCACATTTTGTTTATTTTTGAAGGGCAGATATGGTTCTAAATGAAAAAAGTGAAGCGTAGGGTGAACACTGAGATTTATGAGCAATCTGGTGAACACGTCAGCAAATTATTGCTCATCAGATGAGCTGTAGTGGCTTCACCTTGCATTTGCTTGATGTTGGTATAAATCTTTTTTGCTGATACTTAATCTAGAATGTTCTGAATTTCTGATTCTTTGATTGTTCTACCTCTGGGAATGAGCAGGATCTGTGGTTGAGCCCATAATCCCCAAAACTTTCTTGTGTGCTTTTCAGTTTTCATTGGAAAGCGTGAGCAGCTTGTTATTTTTGTGGTGACTTGCGGCTCCTGTTTGGCTGTTGGGTAAAGGTAGAGCCACTCACACTGCAGAAAGTAATTGCCAGTCTTCAAGTGCAAAATTTGCTGGTTTTCGTGTTAGTGTTGTCGGGTATGCCAAAGCTGTGAATCTTACAGTGGTGCAGGTAACGGTCTAGCTGTGCTTGTTTAATTTGAATGTACTTTAAGAACACCCTCTCTCTCTTTTAGAGATTATGATCGTAATTATGTAGGGAAAACTGGGTTACGTTGGAAAAGGAAAAAGTAAAATAGGAAAGTTATTAAAAGCATTCAAATTTAGAGCAGTAAAATGAGGTCTGGATTAAAGAATCGTAAGGATTTCTCACTGCTTAGGTTGAAGATGGAATTCCTCATACAAATGAAACATTTTAACCTATATCTGTAGCATTAAAAAAGGCAGATATATTTGATGAGAAGAAAGTATATTTTTACTTTTAAAAGCATTATAAGCTTAMCTTTTTAAGTTGGAAAGTGTTAGAAAATTGCTATTCAAGTATCTTRGAAAGAAATGCTCATAGTCACAGGGTTTGGGGCAGTTATGCAGAGGAAGGGTCACATCTAAACGCATGCAGCATCTTGGGGTTTGGTTTAATCACATGCCTTTTTTTGCCATACGTTTTTATTTTTACATTGAAGAAAATCTTGAAATATAGTGTTATTTTGCAGTGAGTCTGGTTCATTTTATTTAGTGKTTTTTTTTTTTTCTCCAAGCAAGAAAGTGCTGTCTATTGAGAATATTTGCCAAAATCAAAAACAATGAACACGTCACAATATTTCCTTGGGCGTTCTAGATTTCCTGTGTTGGTAACAAAAACAAACAAACAAGAAATATTCAAAGCAGCATGAAAGGCTGTGGTCACACTGAAGGGTAATGGCCTGGAGTATGTGGTAGGGTGTGAGCTCTCTTGATTTCTGTGTATGTTTGTTGGATTGGAACATGAATTGCTCTTCCCTTCCTTTTTCTTTTTCCTTTTTTCCTCTTTTCTACTTTACTCTCATAAAAAGATGAGGAAGTTGAGCTAGGTTTTTAAGTTCATACAGAAATTGTTGCAAAATTAAGGGAACTAAAGCTCACTGAATGGGAAATTTTGCAATTACTAAAGCACGTTAGTAAGTAAAATACCCTAACTTTCTTTTTCTTAAACTTTAAATAGGAAAGTTTAGATAATTCATCTCTTCCTTTCATTAAAGAAGGGACAAAGATGACTTTGTCTCTATTTTTGCACACCTCTGCATTCTTTGATGACTACACCCTTGAACTTATATTTATAACTTGATAGTAACCAATAAAAATTAACAATGCTTGTACTTCAGTATTAGACATGGACTGCCAAACCTACAAGCCCTTTTTTACCCGGTGCAAGAAAACAAGAATCCCACGTGTCTTGAGGAATGCCAGTGAAAAAATGTCCTTTGGGAAAACTATGCTAAAATTAGAGTAAATAATAAAAGCWAGTTACTAGAATTATATAGTCATTACTGCAAATGTGCTTTGCAGGATCACTGATGCTCATAGGGGAGGGGTAGAAGTTCTGATATTCTCTTGGCCTTTTTGAGGTTTTCTTATTGTTGAGTGCAGTTTCAAAGAGGTATTTCTACAATAAGTCATCTCAGGATTGAAATACTAGTTCTGCAAACCTTTAGGAGAGAAAGGGAGAATGCTTGCAGCTTGCTGCTTCCTTACTGAATTATCACATGCCTCCCTGTGTAAATAGAGGTCTCAGTTCCTCTGCATACTGCTCTTGGTGAGTATGAGGATTGAATGCACTGGAGGTGATGTCACCTTCACTATCACTGTCTTTTCTAGCCCTGCCTAAYAGCATCTGTTCTGGATTTTGTTGTGTGGATTCTTTGCTGCTKTATTTTTCTTTAGAATCCCTCTTCTGGAGAAGGCACACAAAGGCTTGTCTGAGGTCTTGTGCTTTTTTTGTCCCAGTTAGCAAATCRGCCTTGTTGGGTCTGCAGAGCCATCAGTCCATTGCAGGAATGCCAGACTTGCAGTCTAGCACAGTCCTGGATGTCTTCTGATATTGGGGTACCCAAGGCTTCTTAACAGGATGGGGCTTTGTTTTGTTCTGTAAAAACTATTGCATTTTGAACATKGAGAGCAAAATCTTCTGTTTAGCAGCATAGGTACTTCGATGTGTATCAGTAGAGAAAATCACTGGTGAATTTAAGAAAGCATATTTTGAAATGTTACAAAGCTTTAGCAACATGAAAGCTTACTATCTACTTTCAATCATTCAGCAAATTATTCTTTCTTTATTTAGAATGTTTGATAGACCTTGAACCAGTCCTAAGAACATTTGATGAAATAGCTATGCTGGAAGCAGTAATTCTACTAAAGAGATCAAAGGTAAGGAGCTTTTGTTACAATAATAGAAAAGGAGTTGGTGACATGTCCTATCGTAAACAGAAGTTATTTCATCTGTTCTTTATGCCACATATTTAGGCCAATCTTGTATCTAAGCATGTGCTTGTGCACACCTGTCATCTTGCCTTGTAGCCACAAGTTGATGCAAGTGTCTCTTTCAGGCACTGTATGAATCACGGTGTATCCACAAGAGTGGAAAGAAAACACATGCAGATCAGACATCTCTAAATATACCCCTGCATCCTAATCCACAAGAGGTAATTGTTTTATATGTTGCATATGGTCCTTCCTTGATATCTCAGCATCATTAAAGATCTTAAGAGCTTTGAAAGGCAGCAGAGGAGGTTCATTTAGTAAGGGGGAATTGCTCTGCAGTTTATCTCCTTATGCAGTCAGGAAAGGTATAAAGTGTATTGGTTGAGTCAGTCTACAACGTATGCATAACCATATAGATGGAAATAGGAAAAGGCGGGCAAAAAGGAGTAAGAAGGCCATATTCAATATATTCTTAAAGTGTGAGAAAGTATCCCTTCCAAGAGGAGTGCAGCACACAGTGTCTGCAATGGGCATTGCAGGAGGTTGTCCTCTGCTTCCTTCCCCCTTCCTGTGSCTTGCTTATATAGGATCATCTAGATTTATTTTTAAATTTTGATTCTTAAAGCTGCTTCTGCTAATTCTTACTAATACTATTACACAGAAAATGGTTGCCAGCTTTGGAAAAACACAGGTGTTAGGATTAYGTGTAGCTATTTTCCTGTCTTACTGTATTTTAGTTTTCCTATCCATTCAGCACTAAAACTCTAGGAAAAAGACAGTGATGGGAAGATATTTTGTAAATCACTGCAATTTAACATACATCATGATTATATGACTGGATTAATTTCAGGAAATGCATTCTACTTCCATACAATATGATGGACTTCCTCTGCGGAGCATCTCTCCAGATGTATCAACATACAAGTCTGTTCCCAAGTACAATATCCTCTCATCAGGTAGAGACATTCATGACTTCATATAAACTAAGTTACTGTTGTGACATTATGCTCACATTTTGCCACTGTGTTTGTACAGTAGATAGTTGGATTCCTGTTTATGTCAGAAAAGAAGTGCATTTCATTTCTGTGAGTTTAATACTCTGACTGAAAAAAAAGTAGTGTATGTTAGTTTTGACTTTTTCTGTCATTTGGTAAATCCCCACGCTTCACAGCCTCAGTTTTCATAATCAGAGTAAGGAGTGCAGTGATCCTGTTTGCTTGCCCCTTCAGACTCTTTGTTTATGCTTGTGAAGTGTTCCTGAAAATTAAAAGTCTAAATGTTCTGAGGAGCTCTAACAGCTGAGTAAACTGGAAGTTTCTAATAGAGCCTCTAGATCATTTCTCTTTCAATACATAAAGAGGCTTTAATAAGTAGATAAGAATTTTGGAAAAGCTTATTACCTTTTGTCTCAAAGGTTGAGTGAAAGTTGGCAAAATTTCTAAACAAACTTAATTTTGAAGTATTGCTGACACCAGGGGATCCAAATACACAACTTCATAGGATCAAAATGCTGTGGGACCCAGATGGAACAGCAATGCAGTGTGAAACTAAATGTGTATTTAACTTCTTCATTTTGAAAGAATGTAGAATTATATATTTCAAATGAATGAAACATTTTGTGTCACTGCAGCTGCTGTTACAATACATGTGGGTGTTGTGAGCAGGTACTTAACATATTAGAAAGATAATAATGGAGTCTGAAATTCCAGGGAAAACAAAAATCATAAGAAATTTGAAAGATTTGAGTTAGTAAATGGCAGCAAGTAAGTGTACTGATTCAAGTCATTGAGGAGGCTTTGGTGATTTGTAAAGGACTTCCAGCTSATCAGACTATATTGCATGTGTATATATAKATAGATAGATAGATATTATATAGATAGATATAGATATACACACACATATATTTAGCGTGTGTGTATATATACACACATGCAATGTAGTCTGAGCTGGAAGTTCTTTTATATACATGCAATATAGTCTAGTCTACTGTATCGCATGTATATATACTGTGTACCTATATGTACATATATACATATATGTATATGTTCATATACATGTGTGTATATATACTGAATGGACTGTGAAGAATATCTGTTAAACTGTCACAAGGTGCTCGCAGTGATAATAAAAGCCATGATTCTGTCCACGTACAAAATACATCAGTGAGTAATGAAAGAGAGCAGTTCTGGCCACAGCACTGATCTGTGATTTATTTCTAACCACATTTAGAAACGATGAAATTACCACAATCACTGCTAAGTCCTTTCAGTTTCAAAAYAGTTGACAAGAAGATCTTGTTTTCATACCAGTGCTGCCTAGAAAAAATTTATGAGATTCTTCGTATAGTTTCYGTTCTTTATTCTTTTGTTGAATTCTTTGTGAGAGATCACAGAAGATAACGTTGCTTAATTAATTTATTTTGTTGGGACCCAGCTGTGCTGTCATCATTATTCAGGCTACTGTAAATACGGACATGGCTATAGTCTGTCCTGAAAATTTTGCTAAGAAAATAGGAAAATCATGATGGTAACAATAAATCCAATCAAGTGTAAGATACAAGTTGCAATAGTAAAACAATAAATAGTAAAAATCAAAAGCTTGGAACTGTTGTCTGCTCTAACTGTTTAAATGTAGTGTGATTTGTTTCAGGTAGAACAGAAGAAGAGATACCTCTTTGTCCCTGTGGTTACTAGCAAATAGCTCACTTGTGCTGTTTATCTGCAGACTTTTAGCAACATTCTAACCATTTAAATTTTTTACCTTAGGCAAATCTTCAGTCCAGAAATATTTTCAGCTTTGTCATTTGCATAAGTCCCAGTTTTGCAGGCTACCAGCCACCAATGTGGCATTTTTGTTGCAGACATTTTAGGGAGCAGTATTTTGGAGATGCTAATTCTGAATCAAAACCAGTTTTTAGTGAGTTCATTTGCTGCTCTTATGTTTTGCTGGGTGTGTTTGGAATGACCTGCAAGTTCTTTTTGGAAATTAGGTTTTATATTTCAATTGTGGAGTGTGTCCATATGTAATCTAGAGTCCTACCGTGTGTCGTGAAACAGTGCTGACAGGTACTGACGGGGGCAGCATCTCTGCTTTTATGACTTGCTTCTGCCCTGCTAGTTCTGCAGAGGAAACTCCATTTCCATCTGCAACTTCATAATCATACTTAGGTGATACACAGATAGGTGTCTAAATAGTAACTTTAGCACTAGGTCTGCCAAGTATTTCTTGGGTCATCAGATCCAGTCTTTTAGCATTGCAGGCACTCATGTAACAGAAGCATGATTACAGACTAGTGAAGTTCGGAGTAAAAACTCTTTTCTTACTTAACCAGGATTTACATCAGGTAAGTGTCTGAGGGAAAGCAGAAATGCTGTTCTTTTTGCTCTGCTAAAATTAGATGCAGTTGCTCCAGAAGCAAATCTGTTCCCAGGTGGCTTTTGGCAAGAGGAGAGTTTGGCATGGCACCAGGGGAGAAGTTAATGACTATAGTTTTTAGTGGAGTTGGTTTCTTTCCTCTAACAGTATCAGGAAACTTTTTCAGGAATTTGTTTTTTCAGGATTAAAAACTGACTTTTAACTTCCAGCCTCGTTCCTATTTTCTAGTCAGTTTATACCTGCTTGGTTTGGGGCTTTAAGCTTGACTGCCCTTGGCAATCCCTTGGTGTCCTTTTTTTGCCAGGTAAAAAGAACAGGCAGTTCTGAAGCCCATTTGTAAAAYTGGCTTCTTCAGCCTCCTGAAATCTTGTTTGTTGTGTGTGTGTTGTAGCTTAGAGTGAGCTAAGGCTTCCAGACCTCTGTGCTTCATGTTATTGAAGAGGCTTTATGAGGTATTTTGTCACAAATCTTTACTTGAAACATCTTGGAATTTTAATTTTTCTTTCTCACAAGCATTCTTTCTTACAGAACACCCAGTTTGTTTGTTTTGCCTTTGTCTCAATTCGAAATAATTAACCCCAACTTGAAGCAGAAATCTTGATCTCGTATTTTGTACCACCTAATTTCCACTTCCATCTCTCCAGTCTTCTAGGCCAGCCCATTCCTCCTGAATAACCTCTGCCAATGCCACTAGTGTGTTCCTATTCTCTATGCTACGGTTGCTAGTCAAGGCCATTCTTCCCTCCTGGTACAATCTCAGTAGGTCTGTCTCTAATGTTACGTGTTTAGAGGTCTGTAACAGTCTATCCCGGGAGGACCTTTTAAAATCCTTTCCTGAAGGGATTTTTTACTCAGAGCCATTCCTTCCTCCTTTCTCATTCATGGAATATATGTCATCTTCTGCCACACTGACTTATATTGGGACTTATRCTGGGACTTCCATTCTGCTTTTTAATAGTCAGGGTGTAACTATTTCACTTTTACCTATTCCTGTTCCTCTTTTYCACATTCCATTCTTCCACAGGTCAACATCCTCATCTAGGAATCTACCTTCAGGTCCCCCATTAGATATGTATATGTGAATCCTGAGTTGTGCATGGAGCTGCCTCTCTCCATGGTGTCTTTAGATCTCAGTTATTTATCTCAGATTTATCTCARTTCCTATGTCTGCATCTCAGATCCCCCAGTTTTTCTGAAACTCTTGAACAAGTGGTACCATGAGAGTCTGTAATGAAGACTGCACACAGAATTAGGCCTATGCCGTGTAATTTGTGGCTGACTGGCTATTTGTCATCCTTCTCTGAGTCATCCCTCTTGCTGCTTCATACCCATCTTTGCCTTCTTATGCTAGCTGATCCTGAAAATAGAAACTATTAAACTTCCTATCTAATAGTAATATTTTTCCCCTTTCTTTGTAGAAGTTCATGTGAAGCTTCCTTGAAGTCGTAGGCTGTCTTGACAGCCTAGTGAAAGCTTCTGTTGGCCTCCCACTGAATGTCACTGTTGGTCTTTGTGTTCTTTCCTTCCACTTAGTATTTCTTTTAACCGTCATTGTACTGTCAAAATCGATCAAAATTAATTAGTCGGCTTTCACACTGACTCCTAGCTACCTCTCCCAGTGATTTGAGAAGTCATTGTTGGTCTTCCAGTCCCTACAAAATTTTGTGTAGAGCAGAGCTTTTTAAAGTTCACATTTACCAGTTATGTTTGCCCTTTTAAAATGAGACAAAACATAAAAAATAGCAAGCACTCAAAATCTGATAGGAATCAGTGGGCATAAATATACTCAATATCTAAGTGCAAGGAATAATGTGTTGTGTTTGAAGAGAATTTATTTAGGGGCTCTGATGCTCGTATTTTATTTGAACATGAAAGTAGTAACAGCTCTTTCTTTTTAGATGGAAATTCAGGAGATCTTCACTCACTCAGCAATCAGAGCATGGATGAAAATATTTCTATTACCCAGAGTGCTAAACTTCTCGTGCATCCATACAGTTATTCTCCTTCGTCTGACAAGAGTATTTCAGGTGCTTCGAGTTCTGCCCCATGCCTGCTGCGCTCATCCCCAACGCCCTCAGGTACCACAAACCCTGATACAGGTCCCAGGCCCACAGTATGTTCCCCATGATTGAATGTGTCCTTGTGTCAGATGGAAACTAGAACTGCTGCTCACCTGTAAAGTGAAAACAGAGCAYGCTTCAGATAAAGAGAGCACAAAATTATGTCCTTGAATATTTTCCAAAGTGAGCAAAATGAATACATTATTTGACTTAAGTACATGTACCACTAATTCCTAACTTTTTTATTTTGAGCAGCTTCATATTACTGCTGCTTTGGTTCTCCTTTCTCTCATTCCATTCACCAATATTATTTTCCCTTTCTCCTACTGCTCTAGGAGAGYTGCAGTGCAGCAGATTGGGATAGTAAGTTCACTAGAAATGGGTTAAACTCTCACTTACCTCCAGTCTGTGGACTCTGTGGATCTGTGGACTTGTCTCATCTTTAATGGTCTTCAGTATTAGTTGAGAATCACTGGATAGTTCTTCTGTGTATCAAATACCCATTAAAAATGTGTTTTCAAAGAATGAAAACAAAAAGAAACTTGAGTGGATGCTAAATTATTCAGCTATTTATTTATTTATTTATTTTATGGGTAAAGATCTGCCACATCATCCCTCTTCTGAAATTTACAGTTTTCAATAAATGTCTGTAATGAAATTTAACAGTCCTTCTTTAGAGCACTGTAAACTTACTCTGTTTGGTTCCAATTTCAACAATTAAAGGATTCTGTGATTCAATCTTGAATGCTTCCTATTTCTAGATGTCTGTCATGACCTAAATTTTAATCCTTTAAACTTGTCAAATGGAATCAGTAATTTTATTTTATATGAAGTGGCCTATTCTTTGTTCCATTAAACAAATTCCCTTCCCTTTTCTGTATAACTCCAGTACAAGAAAAGGAGATGTGAGAAACTCACATAAAGTGTGTGGAACACATTGTCTTTGGGTTCTAATTCATATAATTACTAAGAGTAATTAAGATTGCTTTGGGCATTTGGGAATATGGAAACTATCTGGACTGTGAGTGTTTATTCAGAAAGGCACTCACCTCAAAAGGGCTTTTAGGAAGAGTACACTAGAAGAAACAAATGACAAATGTCACAAGAAAGAATAGATCATTTTTCATCCATCCAAAGGAGTATTTCCACACAGACTTGAACCAGATGCAGGTCTCCACTGTGGTGTGGGGCTCTTAGCAAGGTGAGGATCTTGCACTGTTTCACTKTATGAGTCCTCTGCTTGAAAAGGTTATAGAGGAACTTAGAGGGACCTTTTCAGTAAACTTCTCTTTCCAGTTACTGAAATTTTTACTGAAATCACTAACTGTTTCTTTTTACTACCAAGCTGGGTATTTATCACCAAAAACAAATATTCAGCATCTTGGTTTTTTGTTTGTTATTGTTTTTACATCACTATTAACAGATGGTTACAGTGCTAATTACTAATTATTATTGTTTTTAAATCCTTCCCAGCTTCAGATTTTGTTTTGGAAGCCACGCAACCTAATGTAGCTCATCAATGGATCCAAAGTAAAAGAGMAGAAATTATTGATCAGATGACTGAAGCGTGTTTGAATCAGTCACTAGATGCTCTTCTATCAAGATTTTTACTCATGAAAGAAGACTATGAACTTATAAGCACCAAACCTACAAGGACATCAAAAGTCCGACAACTGCTCGATACCTCAGATAGCCAAGGAGAAGAATTTGCCAGAATTATAATACAAAAGTTGAAAGATAACAAGCARTTAGGACTTCAGCCTTATCCAGACATTGTATCTACTTCCTTAAGACTGCATCTTTGAATTTATTGCTTCTGTATGAAGCCGTGTGAATATTTCTTACAAGGAAAGAATTCTTACTTGTTTCTCTATGGTAGTTTTATATCCGTGATGCTTTGTCTTTACTGTGCCTTTCTATGGTCTCAGCAGAGACACTGGGTCCATCTAGCCTGCACTGGGTGAATTGCCACTTAATTAACTGGAGGGCAGCCATAAAGCCAAACACTTGCTACATAACAAAGAAAAAACATTAAATATTCCTGTTTACTTTTTTTTTCTGTTTTACATAGCCTTTCCTTTCAGCTGACATCATTAAAAAACCTTTCACAAAAGCTTATTTCATATTTAGCACAACTTCTACAGAAACCACTACCAAACCACTACTTTTGTTGCTAGAGCCAGCAGTTCACAAGAAGTGCAAGTGTGAGTCAAAGGAGGAACACAGGGATCGAGAAGGACACAATGCTGATTGTTACTATTGTGCTAAAACCTGACATGTTAGAAGTAGTAGAACCTGATTCAGTTACMTCTCCTTAAAATGTTCTTGCACATAAATGATTAGATCAATGTACAGCTTGTAACGTATGAGAGAGCCCTCTTTTAATGCCTGTTACCTTTGTGTCTCACGTAAGTACCTCATATCTCATTTTGCTAGATGAAACTATATGTACGTATGGATTTGCTGTGGCTGTTAGTGTTTATGCTGAGCCACAGTTTGGGCCTGCTGTACAAGGGTTCTGTGTGCACTGCCCTGCCAGGTTAGTGATAACATGAATGGGGACCTTGGACGTAGCAGAGATGATGCTTCCTTTTGAGAGGAAAATAGTGTCCTGACTTGCCTGAATCTTCTTTGGACCACAGTCCTCTCCCACCTAAAGGATGGTGGTAAAATGTTTAGCCACAAATGGGTTCATCTGACAGTTTCTGAGTTTCTGCTCATTTCAGAAAGTTTTAATGATCTGACTTGGGTGGTTTTAAACACAATAAACAATTACTCTTTTTAATTTGCTAGAACAGAGCACATGCAAATGACTTGCATTTTAAAGGCACTAATAAATAATTACAAATTCTGTTAACATTAGTTAAAATTTGGGAAAATTCTAAACTGTGGCACAAGAAAGCTARTATCTGCTTAAACTGTTTTATGAAAACAAGTGTATAAATGAGAAGTCCCAAAGGAAAGCTATTTGGAAACCAATGGAGTTGTGAGATCTGCCCCATTTCAATATGAGTCAATACTCAGTATGTATCATAATGGCTACCAACAGCTTACCTTAATGTTTTGTTTCATTTTTTCAATATCTGTCATAACTTATTTTGTGAACTGAATTACAATGATATGATGTATAATGTTTGGATGAAAGGGCTCTTTTGTAGATTTTTTTAAAATATGTTCTTGCAGTAAACTGGGAATTAGCATTTTACTCCGCTTTGTGTTTTCATCTCCCTTTTAACTCTCGGAGATTATAGCATTCTRCATGGCCATAGTGTGAAGAATGGGTCTGTTTTTTGTAAATTGACTTGGGAATGGCCAGCAAGGAGCTTGATTCCAGACCTGTGCATTCCATTACAGATCRCTTGTAACATCCAAGCCATGTTTTGCTTATTATTAATAACTGACATGGCTGAAGATGGATTTGTTTTATGCAGGGTAGTCTATCAGGTAGTACTGTCAAGTCTAGGTATCCAGGTGCAGCTTGAAACAGAATGAACAGCACCACTGTCTAGAAAACTGGTAGTTCAGAACATGAAAAGGCACTTGCAAATGCTGAAATTTTTTGATTGCTAAATGTTATTAAATAATTAAGGATGTGGRAACAAGAATGAGGGAAAAGCAGTGAATGTTGTTAAGTCTTAACTACATGCTAGTGTTCTTTGTATTCTCTGTTCTCTAGTTATTTTTGTTTCTTCTTCAAGGTATTTATTTTCTGGGATTTCACATCTTGAAATGCTGATTCAAATTTCCTTGACTTTCTTAAGCTACATTGATGAATCTTCTTAAATATATATTTGAAAGTGGGTTTCATGGTTAGATTAATATAAAAGAACYTCCTAGAATGTCCCTTTTGCCAACAGAGAATATTATAGAAACTTTTTTTAGTAAGTACAGACTGCTTTGCTTGATTGTCTATAACATGTTTTCACCTTTCATCCTTTTCAGATGAAGGAAGGAAACTTTGACAGGATTTAAAAGGAAGCCAAGTGCTGGCAAATTTTAGTGCAAAATTTGCAATTTCTTCTTTTTCATCCAATTTACCATTGAAGTTAATGGTTTGGAATTTTTTTTTTCCCTCAAACTTATGCTACTCTAGTCTCCTTTCCAGAAGGCAAATGTAGTTATCTCCAGTAAGGAATTTCAGGAGAAAAAGAGCAATGAGGAAATTTTAGTATGCACAGAAGTATGTGAAAGATTCTGCACCTGGGAAGAATATCCCCGGACACCAGCACAGGCTGGGGACTGACCTGCTGGAGAGGAGCCCCGTGGCGAGGGACCTGCACATCATGGTGGATGACGAGATGACCATGAGGCAGCAGTGTGCCCTGATGGCCAAGAAGGCCAACGGGATCCTGGGGTGCATTAACAAGACTGTCTCCAGCAGGTCGAGGGAGGTGATCATCCCCCTCTACTCAGCCTTGGCAAGGCCACATTTGGAGTACTGCGTCCAGTTCTGGGCTCCCCAGTACAAGAGAGATGTGGAGCTGCTGGAGAGAGTCCAGCGCAGGGCTACGAGGATCATCAGGGGCCGTTGTGGCCGTTTCCTCTAGTCCTATCGCTGGCCACCACTGAAAAGAGGCCGCCCCCTCCTCCTCACTGCCTCCCTTGAGGTATTTATACACGCTGATCAGGTCCCCCCTCAGCCTCCTCTTCTCCAGGCTGAACAGACCCAGCTCTCTCAGCCTTTGCTCATATGGCAGATGTT